CAACAACACCCTGTGCAGAATTTTGCACCATATATGTTTGCTATGGTTTTGGCCAGGGAGGGGTCCCAGGGTGGCTCTGGAGTTCAGACTTGGCAAAGCTCTAGGAGAGAAGGAGGAGAGCTGTGCAGTGGAGCCAGGGGATTTGGGGAAGCCATCTTTGATAAAAAGTGTTAATGAATTTCTAAATGAGGTCTAAATAAGCTTCTGTGAGTAAACGTGATAAAACTCTCCAGGGAGAAGGTCACCCTTAGCTTTGTGGCTCTAAATGTAAGACAAATTGCAAGAAAAAAATGGGAAATGTTGATTGCAGTCCAAAATGAAGAGGCTGGGCATAAATACTGAACCAGTTTTAATGTTAAGTTGATAAAATGTAAGTCTTTCAGAATAACCATCTCAGGGTATATTTATTAGGACCAAAGAGTTAGCTATTTTGTCAGTGTTGCTGGTATACACACACCTTCAAAGACGAACCCAAAACAGAAATAGGTTAATGAAAGGTATAGCATAGTGGTTACAAATATAAATTTTGAAATCAGAATGCCAGGGCAAATCCTAACTCTGCAATTTATTAGCTGTAGGGTCTCAGACAGGTTACCTAATATTTTTATGCCTCATTTTTCTTTTTATCTGTAAAATGGGTATAATAATAATACTTGCCATGTGAGTTGTTGTGAGATTCAAAGAGTCAATAGCTATAAAGAGCTGTACATAATGGCTGACACATAGTAAGTCTTCAATAAATATTCATTTTTACTATCACTAGATGAGGTAGCTGGAGGGAAGGAAGGGAAAGTTATAAATGATCCCCTTTTACAGTTTTTGTAAAGTGCAGAGTTACAGTGTGGCTATAGTAACACAGGAAAGCTGATCTTTGGGCAGGGGACAAATTTGCAAGTAAAACCAGGTAGGTCTGAATATTCCTAAGTAAGCCATAATTGTCCACTATATTTATTTTTAGCTGACCTCTCAACTTCAAACCAATGACTCTTATTTTTATGTTTTATTTTCCTTTTGTGAAAGGAAGGAGAATATTTATAAAGTCTGGCTGATTTGGTCTTTTCTAACCTATTTAGTTTCAGCTAGTGGCAAAAGGGGGAGAAAGACTTGAGGTGAGTAACGCATTTATTCTATGGGTCCAGAATTTCTAGGCAAGGGCTGAAAGAATATAAAAATATAAGCTTGGCTGACTTGGGTGCAATAAAAATATCAAATGTGTGTGCTTCACAAAAAAAGAAAGGTGAATTTTACATAATGGCGTACTAGAGTAGAAACCACGTTTAAAGCCACCAGAATTTTTAAGCAATGTCTTTCAAGTAGAAAATAGGTAGCAATGATATGGCAAGCTTTGGTTTAGGGGGAAAAAATTAAAGTTATCATCAAGTAGGTGTCAAAATACATAGACCATGTCCCTGATGAGCTTAATAGAGGATGAAGAGGAGGACAATTCAGCAGAACAGGAAAGTGTTTTTGTACTGGTCAGAAACACTGTGCCAACTTCTGGGGCAAAGAATCTTGTCTTTGGGACTGGCACGAGACTCACTGTTATTTCCCGTAAGTCTTTTACCATTTGAGAAAAAGCCCTTAATCTATAATGGCCAGCTCTCACAGCCCAGACACCTAATGAATTTCTAAATGAGCTTTTGTGTGTTCACCTGATAAGACTCTCTAGGGAGAAGGTCACCCTAACCATTGCAGCTGTAAATGTAAGATGTGTTGCAAGAAAAAAATGGGAAACGTTAATTGTGCCAAACTGAAGAGGGGAAGTATTGGACCAGTTTTAATGTTATGTTTATAAAATGTAAGCTTTCCAGAATAACCAGGTCAGGGTACATTTATTAGTTTGTGTCTATGCAGCACAATTGTCCAGTTAATTTGACTAATGTCAGTAGCTGATCCAGAGATGAGGCACTTCCTTGAAGGACCTCCTTTGTGCTTAAAGTTGCCCACATTGACAGTCACATTACCTACATAATTACCAGATCTGTTTTACTTTGTGCTGTATAGACTCAGTCTAATAAAAACAAATGCTGTTGTGTTTTTTCCCCATTCTGTCTCCACTCCACACAGAAAGTGTTCCTTCTATTAAACAGCAGCTCCTCACACACAAAAAAAGATACCCAGCAAGCCATTTGACTTATTGCTGCTGCTATTTTGCATTTATATGACTCTTTTCCTTGCAAGAGATTAAGACACTTTATACGACTTATTAGCTAAACAGATTGACAGCCTAATTAGGAAGAGAGAAACAGATTCTGAGTATCTTTTTGTGGCTGCTGTTCCCACCTCTTTGTGTAAAACATTTAATCAGATGCCTCCGTGAGACAGAAGTAAGAGAGGGAGGTGGTCTTCATTTGTAGTATGGGGCCTCTCAGCTGCTCATAAGAGTTTGTCACAGGAGGTAAAACAGTATTAAATAGGTCAGGTCAACTGACAGAGCCAGGATAAGTTCTTTCTCCTAGAACTCATGTGTTCTCACAAAACAGCATGACAAATTGTGACATCAGTTGCTGAAGTGTATCTACTCTTCTTTCTTGTTTTCACATCCTTCCACTCCAACTCCTATTCCTTCCATCTCTAATTCCTCCTGTATTTAATTTATCCTCTCTTTCTCTCTTTTGAATTCCTGACTAACCTCCCACCGCATCCCCAGCGCCCCACACACACCCTACTGCTACTTCTTTAGCCTGTCCTATTTCTAAGGAGTTTTTCAGCTCATTGAGTAATCCTCAAATAGTTGAGGTAATCTTTCCTTCAGTGACACCAACAGAGCCTCTGCAGAGGTGTAAGGGGTCACCATGGGCTTCCAAATGCCTACACGGAGGGTGGAGCTGGGCTCAGGGTAAGGAAGAGCCTCAGGAGGGAAGGTCTGCCACACAGTATTTATATGATAAGGAATGCCACAGTTTTCATGATGTGCATGTCTGAAACCTCTCTGGTACCTGGGAAACTTTAACTTCCACCTTGGGACCCAAGCAGGGTTTTTGTAGTAGAGTCAGTCACTGTGGGCAGACAGGCGGTGGAGATACGCTGCGTTTTGGGTCTGGCACTCAAGTGATTATTAAACCACGTAAGTGTGACTTTTCTCATTTCTATGGGTTATGCCTGTAAGTCTTATTGTTTTTAGTTGCCACCAAGTCTATTCCAACTCATGGCTACCCACCCATATGTGCAGAATGGAACTGTTCCATAGGGTTTTCAAGGCTGTGGCCTTTTGGAAGCAAATTGCCAAGCCTCACTCTGAGGCATCTTGGGTGGGTTTGAGCCACCATCTTTTCAGGTAGTAGTGTAGACCGTAACCATTTGTGCCACCCAGGGACCCCTCCTCTGTAAGTCTTAGAGAGGAGTTATTTTTCCCTTTGCCCAGGTAGTCACTGATTTACTAGACACTGCATACAACACTAGATTTACCTGCACAGCTAATTGGACCGTTGAGACAGTCAAATTTACTTTCAAAAACAACTTTGACTGATTTCATTTAATGCTGCCAACAGCAAAGAGAAATTAGCATGTCATGGAATCAAATCTATGCTCACTCACTGTTGAGGGAGGACAGTTATCTCTTCTTATCTCCCTCTCACCCGGCACTTGGAATTCGGAATGCAGCTGACCTTTTCCATGCCTGTATGTTCTAGAGAAACTCTCGTGGTGTAGTGGATAAGACACTTGACTACTAACCACAAGGTCAGCGGTTCCAATCCACCAGTTGCTCTGAGGAAGGAAGACTGGGCAATCTACTTCTGTAAAGATTTACAGCCTCAGAAACCCAATGGGGTCACTACGAGTCAGAAATGACTCGATGGCAGTGAGTTTGGTTTTTGGTTTGGAACATTTTCATGCTATTCACTTTAATAATATCTTGACTTGAACAAGCACATTTTCTTCCACATTATTTAAAATGTCCTTCTATCTTCACAACGTTCACTAATAAAGTAAACAGGGTTATACATCACGAAACATATTTCACAGGCAGAAAAGCTGAAGCCCAGATAAGTTAAAGAATTGGGATCAAACCAAAAAATTCACAGTTGGGATTAGCATTTGGGATTACCAATTTTATAATGGGGAATTACCATGAAATGTTACTTTGTGAATTGAAAACATAGTAAGTGCAGACCATAAGCATTTTCCAGGATATTTAACTGAAGCAAACACTGTTTCATTATGTTGATATTTTCAATATATTCCCCAAACCTGCTTTGCTGTTTGGTGCCATTGACCTGGGGGAAGGACAGAGGGACCAATGCATGGGCAGAATGCCCTGCCGAACGGGAGAGGTTTTTGTAAACCCCCATGTCACTGTGCCCTCCAACGCCAACAAACTCATCTTTGGGGCTGGGACTAGATTACAAGTCTTCCCAAGTAAGTACTAGAAATCACAGAGCAATTTTTTAAAGGTGTTTTCTAGAAACAACTAACAAGTTGGGATATTTTCTAAAGGTGCTGCAGTCCACCTTGTCCCACACCACATTCTATAGGAGACATCCATGCCTCCTCTGGCCACTGGGTGCCCATTCCCTCAGCACAGCACTTTTCACAGATAAAGCGCTCTGTAAACCAAAACAGTTTAATCTATATGTGAACACCATAGTGTTGATTAAAATCATGTCAGCAGTGAAAATGAGACACTAGAGAATCAGATGCATTATGACTCCAAACAGCTGATTGGTTTCTCTCTTTTGCATTTTTATTTAAAATATGCAGGAAGGTGAAGCAAGTTTGACTTCTCCAATTTGAAAACTGTTTATGAATTATGCTTCCTTCATATGCAGAGAGACCTAGATTGACTTTTGATGTTTAGTCATTCAATTTCCTCCTCTGTGTCTGGAATCTGTAATGGACAAGGGAATCGAATGTAATTAAATGAGCAAATAATCTTCAATAGTCAATATTCCTACATTGTTTTATGTGCTTTGCTCTGGACTTTTTATCTGGGCCTTATCTTTAATAGGTTCCCCGGAAGGACAGTGAAGGTTTTTGTTAAGGTTTTTATGTCTGTGTAGATAGCAACTATCAGTTGATCTGGGGCTCTGGGACCAAGCTAATTATAAAGCCAGGTAAGTCTCAGAGATGTGACTATAAGGGAGAGGAGACACCAGTTGAATAAAAGACGAAATGTCATATTCAAATTATATTTCTAAGAACAATCTATCCTGCTGGAGACAATGCACTAGAGCCAAATGGGGTTTTCACTCCCAATAAGAAGCAATGTCAGCCACCAACTCTGATGTTTATTTCATTTGCTGCCAGAATGAATAATGTTTCAGTAACCCCCCAAGAGAACAGAGCCAGGTTGTAAGGTAGTGTGCCCACAGCTTCGCCAACATCTTTGCCTTGTTCTGCTGTCCTGCACAGGGAACAGATGCCTTCAGTGCTCCTGGTGACTGAGTGAATCACCCAAGGCTCTTCACCTTAGAGCAGATCCCAGAAGGACATAACTTAAAAGGTAGTGTCAGATACATATAATGGAATTTGTATGTATTTGGCTCTAAAGAGAAATTAATTTCTGACACATTCTATGACATGGATGAACTTTAAAAACATTGTGCTGAGAGAAATAAGTCAGACACAAAAGAACAAATATTGTATGATTCCACTTACATGAAATGCCTAGAATAAGCAAATGCATAGAGACTAAAGTTCATTAGTGGTTACCAGCAGCAGAGGACAGAAGGTAATGGGAGCTGTTCCTGAGGGTTTTCTGTTTCTGTTTGGAGCATTGTTAAACATTTGAAAATGAATAATGGATAATGGGGATTACGCAATGTGGTAAAAGTAGTGTCATTGAATTGTACACTTAAAAATAGTTTAAAAAGCTATAAATTTTATTATATTTTTTTATCACAATAAATTTAAAAAAAAAAAAGGCAATGTCAGAATATGTCAGGGGCATATGAAGGCTGAGGGATACGTAGCTAGTCTGAAGAGGTGGCTAAGGATAGACTTTTGCAGCAGTGGCACTGAAGCTTGTTTGCCCCAAAAGACAGAAGGCTGTCCTGACCCCATCTTGCCATGTCTTTTCCTGAGGGTTTTTGTAAGGCTCTGAAGGGCTGTGTGAATTTTGGAAGTGTTGGAAACAAACTCCTCTTTGGGACTGGCACTCTGCTTTCTGTCAAACCAAGTATGTGAGTAGTGGGGTTTCTCAGGAGGATTCTGTGTCCATGGCAAGTGGGAGGTAATAGCCATCATTGGCTAAAAAAAAAGGGCTGAAGTTGGTTTTGTCCTCCACTAACTCAAACTCACTGCCATCAAGTCGGATCCAACTCATAGCAACCCCTCCTTGGGTTTCCGAGGTGGTATCACTACGAAAGTAAATTGCCCAACCTTCCTTCCGAAGAGTGACTGGTGGGTTTGAACCGCCAGCCTTCTGGTTAGCAGTCAAATGCCTTAGGCACTACATCCTCCATTAGCATCCCTTAAGTGCCAGGCTTTCAAAATGTTCCATTCTCCTGAATGGTACACCACAGTCAGGGAAGGAGAAATAGTGCTCATTTTAAGATGAACCCCAGGGAGAAAACTACTGTGGGAACACTGCTGTCATCTAAATGCTGCAGGCTGTGCTTCTGTGAACCCTATTTCCAGGTATTAGCTTCAGGCATACCTTACCTGCATTGATAAAGTTTCTGCTAAGCTGTTTATACAATTCTGAGTCCAGTGGTCCAAATGCCTTCTTCTATAGATCCAATATCTTACTTTTCTTCCAAAGGAGACTCCAGAGTTTCATTTGCAAAGATTGATGGAAAATCAGGCAAAACTAACCCAGAAGGGAAAGAGGAGGCTTAGGGTAGTATTAAAATTGTGACCCACATAACACCAGACCTCCATTTTCTACAGTTGCTTACCCTTTCATTTTCCCTTGTTTCTTCTGGACACCTGCGTCCAGGCTGAGAGGAGAAAAATAAAATCCATTTTGAACTCTTCTTCTTCAAGTCTGAAGAATCAACAAGTCACAGTCACACTGGGGATGAGACCAAATCTCTTTCTTTCTCCAAGTTCACAATTCTATCATGTGAGCTTTACTTTTAACCCAGAGTTAGTGACCTGGTATCACTGTGTTGATGCTCAGTCCTCTCTGTTTTTCTCCAGCTACTTCGTGTCCATTAAGTCCCAGCCAATGCTCAGCTTTATGATAAAGGAGTTCTTGTGTGCTCTTATCTTTGCTTTCAGGGTACAATCATTTTTATAACAGAAAATGTTCACTTCTTCCATTTATTTCCAGACTGTACTTTTCTAAATTTGAGGGAGATTGTTTGTCGTAACTCCCTGTTCCTTTCTGCCAAAAACATCATGAGTCCATGGTGGAGCTTCTTTGGGAAAAGATAAGGCTGTTTGCCTTTTGTTACTCTTCTCTCATGAAATATTTTCTAGGCTACTACTACTACAAACATATTATGCAGTAAGAAAGCCTTGAAACAACTTGATCAGTTGAGTAAGAGACAGACCAAGGAGATTGGGTAGACTCTAAAGAGTTCAGATGGCTCTGGAGCGGGAAACATCCCTGTGGATGTGGAAATGCATCAAAGCTGTGTATCTAACACTGAGCTCATGCATATGAGAGCAAGAGTTGTTAGCAAAGTATAGAAGTTACTTTTGGTAGATTTAAGCCTAGAAATGCAAAAAACTCATAAGTTTTGTCTTTTAAAAGAAGAAATTTCCAGAGCCAATTGTTTATTCTTCCTATCCTAAAGGATGATTCCCCAGAGACACAGAAAAAGAAAAAATTGTGGAGAGTCTGACTTCCCCTTTACTACCACTCCTTGTGTTTGGTTTTACTCAACCCAGGGTAAACTGGGAAAGGTGAAGAGGGGTTTCAGTAAAGGCAGGCAATGCTGTGGGAATAGTAATACCAGATTCTTCTTTGGAAATGGAACCCAGCTAGTGGTGAAACCCAGTAAGTGGCCATGTTCTATTTCTATTTGACCAAATAAATAAATCCTGTTAATTTGGTGGAGATTTAATCTAACATGTAAATGAATATTCCTTTTGAAAAGTAACTTTTGCAAATGCATGAAACATTCTTGATTGTTGAGAATAGAGTAATAATGGTAATAGATGCAAAATAATAAGACCATTCCAAATTGCCTTTAATATGATAGTTCAGCTTTCTTTCTTCCAAAGAGAAATTAAAACCATGAGTTATTTACACCCACAGTATTTCTTAAACTATGTTTTCTAATGATTTGTGTGTTTACTGTGATTTTGCCCACAGAACTTGTCTTCCAGTCTGTTAAAAAATGAGAATCTAATTCATTTTAAATGTTGCTAATATTCATAAGGAATCTTCTTTGTCTCTCACTGCCTGCACATATATTTATTCTAAAAGACTGAATAGGAAACCCAAATATTGTCCCATTTTGACAAATATCTGCATCTAGTCTCATACATATCAAATTTCACTTAAAAAAAAAAAAAACCCTGCTTTACTATTAAAAAAAAGAAGAAAAAAAAAAAAAAAAAAAAAAAGGCAATTCAGAGATGAATTGATGATCCCAGAGGCTCTATAAGTAGCTGAAAGGAAATTCGGAGTAAAATAAAGTGGCAGGTGTGATGACAAGATTTTACTCCTCTATGGGGAGTACAAGGAGCTCTGGGGGGCATAGTGCCTAAGGCATCTGACTGCAGTTCAAACCCACCAGCCACTCCTCAGAAGGAAGGTTGGGCAATCTACTTCCATAGTGATACTGCCTTGGAAACCCAAGGAGGGGTCACTATGAGTCGGGTCCAGTGCATTTTATGGGGAGTACAAACTTTAAACATACTTCCTTGGGAAGGCATTGAGGAGTCTGACATTCCTGGGAGTGCTTCTGAGGTGTCAGCTTCTCTATGCTGTCATTTTGGGGACAATGGGACCCATTTAAATGTCAACCTAAAATACAATATTAAAAAGCAAATGTTGTCAAGTTGACTGTCTTGGTTATTAAACCTGCAACAGGTTATGATAAAGACTATGGAATGACCAGCCCAAAGAGCTTTAAAACAGGATAGCCTGTTGCTGGATGATTTAGCTGTAGGAAATGCCCAAAGATAGGGAAAAAACTAGGTGACTCTATGAATTTGTTGTGAAGCTAGTAAACATAACCAACTCGTAGTAATCTTTTGTAGTGATTGTGATAAAGAGCCTCTTTTTGGTCAAGTAAGTGATGAGAAGTAGACAGTGGGGCTTGGTTCTTTATGAGTCAAAGAAGGATCCAGTCAGGATGGGTGATAATGACATAACATTTCCATCTCTTGGTGGTTTGAACTTCCTAGGCTCTGAAAGGAGGACGTTTCCCAAAAGACTGGACCCCTCTGGGTCAAAATGAATGATCCCTCTTACCCCTGGCAAGGACAGGGCTATCAAGAGTGTAGTTAGTAAACATATGTTTGGCCTGCTATGAGGTATCTTCAAGGTTTGGTGATATGGCTACTCTAGAACTTGGGCCCAGAGCCAAGGATGGGATGAGAGCTCTATACTGCACTTCTATTCCAAGTAAAAACCCAGATGTCTGTCTGAAGCCACCCATTCCTGCCCCTCCTCTTGTTTGGCCTGTGAAGAGTGGATTTCTAGCTCTGTGGCTGTCTGCGCATCCATTTTTTGCCTGCAGTAACATAATAGAATTGTGTTTGATATCAGAAAGGAGTTTGTTGAATTGGTGCTTTTATAATTCACTTGCAGTGTCAAATGAGGTCATTCAATTTCCTCTCTGTGCATTTGCAATAAGCAGCATAAAATTCAAGCAAAACAACTAGAAGACAAGAGAAAGATGGTTGAACAGATAATGAGGCCTGTTTATTATAGTAGAGGAGAAAGTGTGGGTGTCTTTTAAGTCCCATGAAGGTGAAATATCCATCAAAGGATGTGAAAAAGAAAAGAATCACTAGGAGTTTTTGTTATGGTCCCAATCACAGTGTGAACGAAATTTGAACAAAATCATCTTTGGAAAAGGGACTCGACTTCATGTTCTCGCTAGTAAGTACTATTCATGTGATTTTCTGACACTGAGTCCTATTGAGCTAAAACAGTTTTTGGTGTTGGGTGGGAAACATTTCTTAGGCTCTAATACATGTCTCTAGGACC